AATTCTTTTGGGTGGTTCTTCAACTTTAAACTCCAGCTTTACCAGAACTTTAAGTGTTGCATTTGCTTTAGAATGATTCCTATCAAAGTGGTTACAGTATTGCTCTTTCTACCAGACGCACTTTGCAGGAATTATTAAATGATTAGGCACAAGTGCAAGGTGGTGTGAATAATTTTGATGAACTGTAATGTTGAAGAGAAAACACTATTTGTTGTAAACAAAGTTATGAAAGACCACTGAATTATGCGAAACCTCGGTGTAAAACATAAATTAAATTATACTCTGGGTAAGCTCTAACAACCTTTCTGTCAGAACTGCCAGGTCATCCCTTGCTATGTACAGAACCCACTTCCTCTGCTTGGCTTATTCCAAGATGCTGAAGGATATTAATGACTCGGATTAACTTCCTAGGTGTTCTTAGTTTTGAGTTAAGACTGAACAAATATCTCCTGCAGGGTTTTAGTGGCAGAATGTTTTGGAATATCTTGGTTGTTTATTAGAACTTGTGGTACTTTGCTCTATGAGAGGGGCACTGATGAAGTTTGTGAAAATTCCAGTTTGCACCAGTGTATTCTGGCTGTTCACTTTCCACCTAGAAGAGGGCTAAGTTTTTCAAAAAATGGGAGCCTATCATTAGATAACTGGATCCAAATTTGGACTAGTAGTAGATTTTCCAGAGTCCAAGGTAACCAACACAAAAATGAGATACTAGGTGTGATTAAAGAAAAGAAGAAATACAAATGCATCATGATTATGTGACAGAGAACTTTCTCTTTGAAGCTCTCCATTTTCAAACTCCTATCTCACTGCCTGTGACCAGCTATATGAAAACAAGAATCAGGGCACGCTGCACTAGGTATGATGTTAGGTCATAAGCTGTGTCAGGAACAGGGCTTAGCACTGAAGACCACGCTTGGCAGCTTCTTAGCTGCTGTCTCAAGTTAGTTGTAATAGTTCAGCGCTGTTTCTCTGCCTCACAGCTTTTATTTTGATTGGCGTGGTAGCTGTTACTGTTCTGACCCGACCAGTCAGAAAGTAGGTGGTGAGCAGTGTTTCTAGCAAGACGCAAATCTCTCTTTGCCCTCCTTTTGACGAGTGCTATGTTTCCTGAATGATGGAAATGCTTGCAGAAAAGAGGTCCATTTCTTTGTGCTTATTGAGCCAAATACCCCATCCAGCAGGCAAGGCCGTGTGCAGTGTCTTTCATGTGGCTGTGTAGGACAGGAACTGCTTCATCAGAGGGCTCATGGGAGAGTCCAGGGTGTAGTCCACTAACCAGAGATGACACCTACTCCCCTGGCACCCCAGATATTTTTTTAGCTGGACTGGCTGTGAGTCTGAGGGATGGTGTCACCCAACAGCACTGACCCCAGCAGCATCACTGCCTCCCGCAGCTGGGGTTTTAGGTAAAGCCTCATTTCCCGGGTTGTGACATAGCTGCCTGTAAATTTTCTCTCCACATTCTTCTTCCAGTACTTTTCCTGAGTACCTTATACCTTATAGGAAATTATATTAACTTTTCTGAACCAGGAAAGCAAACTGCAATGTGGTTTTCAAAAGCAGAAGATCTTGGTAGCCTGTGGACTTAGAGAATGATAGAAGTGCTTTTGAACTCCATTCTAGACAAGCCAGGGTTGGTGTTTTACTGGTTACACTTGGCAGAAGTGGCAGTGTTAGCTAGTAAGATGAAAGAGGAAAAGAAGAGTATACAAGAAATGACTGATTAATATGTGCTCCTGTTTTTGATAAATTTTAGTCTAGTTAGTGTAATCTTAGTCTGCCAAACATTGTGTAACTTGATGTGAAAGCTCTTGAGCGTTCTGCCTCTGCCCACATTCCTGTCTATCTCTTTTGGGGGACAGAGGAGGAAAATCTCAGTTGGTTTGAAGTAAAACAGAGTCTCTTGAAAGTATAATTTTTATTCTGATTGTGTACTCGGGTCTGTTCTGACTGCAGATCTTGCAGACAGTAATGAAGATGCAGTTGCGCAGAATCCCTTTTGCAAACATGTGTCGCCCTGGACCAATAACAGCTTGCTGTTCCTTTGTATTTCCTGTTCCCCACGTCCATTTTTGCAAGTATTGGACTCATTCATGCCAAGAACTCTTGAAAAATTATCTCATTTGATTGACTAATTCTTGTGAATATTTTATTTCAGGTTATTGTAGCTGTACTATATAATACGACTAAAATGTCCCTTCTTTATTTGACTTTTCTAAGCATAGCTCTCCATCTATACTCATTAATAGATTAGAGTACCAAATGCCCACCTGGTAGGCAGCTAACTCAATATTACAGGTATGTAAGTGCCAGTCTTGCTTCTCTGCTCCCTTTTTAGCATCTATGGGGGCGAACGATGCACTCAGTGTTTGGGTGCCTAATAAGATTTAGGTGACATTTTGAGAGACTGTGCCGTTCTCTCACAGCCGTTTTTGTGCGGGGTGTGAATTGGAAAAGGTGAAAAAGGCCATCTGCAGGCTAATGAAAAGATACTTGTGCAACCCGTAGCAAACACTGCCATGTACTGAACTTGGCTGGTACCCGCTGTGCATGCACTCGGCTTGGGCTCAGCAGCAAACCCCTGAACTCCACATGGTGGGCTCCCTGGCTCGCTGACACGCTCTTGCTGGCTCTGCAGGGAAGCGGGGCTGTCTGCAGTGCTCCTCTGAGGAAATCCTTCCTGATTGACACGCTTCCTGGGAAGAGCTACAACAGTTCATTGTAGTACAACTGTGAATTGTTTTTGCACCTACTGCTGTCCTTTCTCCCGGTGTAACTGTCCAAAAAAGAAAAAAAATATATATATAGACCACGGTTGCCGAACAGCCTTGCAATGACATCTGGAGATATCTGCATGCTTGATGCTGTTGGGGTCCTACACCCCTTGGGCTGGTCATATTGCTGTGTGGTCTCATCCTAGTTCTTGCTCCTTTTTCTGGAGAGTTGTTTTTCACCAGAGGGGATTTGGTGTGTGGGTGTTTGAATGCTGCTGTTTGCTGTTTTTTAAAGGACTTCTAGCCCTCCCATGGGGTTACTGCAGCAAAAAATCATACCTGTGCTACAGCCCAGCATACAGACTGCTGACAGGTACCAAGTGGAAAAACCCCGCTCATAGTGTGCTGTGTTTTGTCAACATGTTTTACTGCCCATGGTTTTCAGCAATTTGTTAACATTTATCTTTTTTTTTTCTTTTTTTCCATTTGTGCCTACATTGCCTGGCAAACCATGTTGTTCTATTATAACATTTCTTTTTCTTTTTCCCATAAGTTGCCAGTATCCGTGTCCTTCCAATTTAATAATCACTGTTGAATTTAAACAAAATGTAGAACCCCCCCAAAATAATACTGATGTTCAATCAGATAAGCGTATAACCCATTTTTTTTTTCAAGATATTAGTTCCTGGATCCATTTGTAACTACTTTTTTTCATTTAAGTTGTTCTGAATTCTGTTTTCTGTTGTCCAGCTGTTACATGACAGACATCTCCAAAAGTGCTGCTGGCCTGCTCAGTAGCTGTAGGCTGTGTATTCTCCTTTAGGTTCTAACCGACTGCAGCACTCGGCTGCCAGCAATGTTTAAGACAGTAAGGATGGAAAACAGGGCTTATCCCATAAACTCTGCAATATGCTGGAGTGTTTTCGGTGCAGGTTTGCATTACCTAACCTAGCTCATCAGTGAATTGCTCCAGTCTCTTCAGTAGCCTCGTTGCCTTCTCCACGCATTAGGGAGGTCTCTGCTGTTATGGCAGAGAGGGAGGGACTGGGAACAGAATTCCACTTTGAGAGGTCTCTTCTCAAATGCTGGACTTGCTGATTTACGTGAAGGTGGGGTGGTATTGTTGGTGAGGGTAGTTCCTGGACTTTTCCCTTTTTCATTTCCAGCATCTCTGGATTGGCATAGATGCCTTTGCCCTTTCCTTTCTGTCTTGCAGTGTGTTTGCTGGGTTCAGCCCAGCTCTTCCCTTCTTAAATGTGACTCAGGACTTGTCTCAACATTAGCATTTACACTTTTCTCTCTAATTTATGCTCCTCCTTTAGTAGTGCTAGGGCTTTAATTTCAGGGTATATCTTTTGCCTCCCTTCCCAAGCAGGGCTTGCAGGTAGACATTATGAAGTCTTGGGCATACTGCATCCAGTCCTAGACCTGTACAAGTAAAATGTAGTGCTCTGGCACTGCAGAACATTGTTTTAAGGACAAGAATTTAGTTATTGAGTGCTACCAGCCAGCATGAGGACAAAAAGCTGTTCATAAGAATGGCCTTTAACAGGGCAATATCCCAAGAGTTTTCCCCGCCAGCATCGCTTTAGCTTGCTCAGTTGCAGGACATTGTTCAGTTTGAAAAGTTCTGAACTTCTGCTCAGAATAAATGTAATCGCTGCCAGGTGTCTAGTATCTCCACAAGAGCTGGCTTCTACTAACACAGACTCACGGCCTGGCTTGATTTTGGGCTTTGTGTTGGCCTGTGAAATGTTCACTGCACCTTGCATCAGTCAAAGAGCTATCAGTGCCCACAGGATGACATCGCTCTTCCCTGCACTTTCCTTCTGGCATGAGATGCCCTCTGCTCTTTATGGTGGCAGCCATCTGTCCCCTTCCTCCAGAGAAAGCAGGTTTGTCTTTTCCCTCTTCTTTCAACCCCAACCATTTGTAGAAGTGAGGAAGTGGCCTGGGCAGTAAATCTAGCAAGAAAAAAAAAAAAATCCTTTTCCTCAAGCAAGGAGAGCTCTGTACGTGCTGGGTTAAGAGACTAGATCGTCCTGGTAGCCAGAACAGCAACTTTTTTCCCCCCCCAACAGTCATAATCAAAGCAGTGAGAACATAGATATTTGTGGAACTTTTGTTGAAAGACCTATAAACTATTAAACACTTGATTTTTAAAAAACAGCATAGCACTGGCTACTTGTCTCTCATATAAACTTGGGCGTGGCCAGTAGGTGTACAGTGACATGCAGCACCTTTTACATGACCGTAGTGCACCAAATAACCCTTATTTGATTTTGTCTGTCTCTCTTTCCTTCATGGCTTAAGGCATCACACAGTTACCCGAGGTATAACTAAAGGAGTGAAAGAAGATTTCCGCCTGGCCATGGAGCGCCAGGTCTCGCGCTGTGGGGAGAATCTCATGGTGGTCTTGCATAGGTTCTGCGTGAATGAGAAAATACTGCTGCTTCAGACTCTTGCTTGAACGGACCGGACCATGATGCAGTGTGTCTGACGGAGAGAGGGGAAGGCTCTTCACTGTATGAACAGCCTCTTGGCAGGGGGAAATCCCTTGTCCAGAGAAGTTCCTTATTGAGTTACAGGTTCTCCAGTACACAAACACTACTCAGTGTTTGTTCACCACTTTTAGTTTTCTTATCTGGGTAGATCAAACTTTATAAATAAAACTTTGTTTAAGAAGTAGTCTGTAATGTCCTGTTTGTGTTTGTTTTTTTTCTACAGCATACTACTACGGTGTGCGTCTTGGTTCTCTCCATCTTTATACACACACAGGGAACACAGCAGGGTATTTCAGCACTATTTATTCACACTAGTTTGGAAATCACAGCATGACTGAATTTCCTGAGTTTCCAAAAGCTTCTCTTACATTAAATTAGTCTGCTGTCTCCCTTTTTAGCTGAATTCTACCTGTATTGCTGGTTTTTAGATTCAGGGCCCTTACGTAAATCCATTCATAAAGAGGATTGCTTTGATCAAACTTTGGTAATATCCAAGTGATTATATAAAGTCTATAGGAACTGGCCTCTCTGCACTCTCAGAGTGCAGCACATGAAACCCGGACCTCATCCATAGTAGAGGTACGTAACACAAAGGCCCAGAACATGCCCGAGTGGGCTACTAAACCTGTAGCAGCCACATGCCGACTAATAAGCCACTAGAAGAGATCTTTGGCAGCAGGCTTCAGCACGATCCTAAACCCCAGGTT